ACACACAGCACACACGCATACACTCGCACCGCACACACTACGAGCCGCACGCACAACACAACACACACACACACGACACACACACACACACACGACACTGGACCGATCCTCGCCACCCGACGACACCACCAAACGCGCGCACACAACCGCGCACAAATACATTAAGACACAGTACCACCACAACGTCACGTCACGACGCCGCCGCGCGCCGCGAGCACTACAAAAGGGCACAACACACACGCCACACACGCACACGCACACGCACAACGCACACACACTACGCACAACACACACACATTGGCACACACACACACACACACACATGTCACACACGCATTAAACTGCAGCTGACTGGGCACGCCAGCGCGACCGCACGAACAACGCATGATGCAAAACCGCAGCAGCCTCGAGGCTGAGGCTACCTTGACATTTCCACCACAAGCAGTCTGGAGCGCTAGGGTAGCATCAGGCATCCGACCGCAAGTGACACGCTTCACTAATCTGGGTCAAGCTGCCCCCTACGCAGCACGCTAATGAAAAAAAGCAACTCTGGCCGGGCGGTTTTTTGCCAGTACCTGGTACACAATCACACTTTTTACAGCGGTGGCTCGCCAATGGTAACCCTAATTTGTCTTGGTTGCGATGAATGGCCAAGAGCCCCGGGGCACGACGATTTCGCCGTACCCTAACCCACGTGCTTGTTAAATAGCCACCCACGCGTACGGGTCGCACCTACGTGCCCCCTTGTGGTGTGGCCTGAGTGGTAGAAGGCAAAGGCAAGAAGAGAGAAAGGTGAGATAGGGAAAAACGAGGAAAGAAGCGCGGAGAAAGTGTGGGCGTGATAAAAGGTGGTGGGAGGGAGGGAGAGGTGGAGGTAATCGGAAAGAGGAGAGTGAGATGATAGAGAAGAAGATGATATAGGGAGAGGGTGTATATAACGAGATAGAGATGGAGATAGTAAACACGCAGCCGAGAGGTAGAAGACTAGGAAACTAGGAAAAGAAAAAAATGATGAATAAATGGATGGATAGATGAATAGATAGACGGATGGATTGTTGGATGGATGAATGAATGGATGGATGGATAGATGGATGAATGGATGGTTGGATGGATAAATGGATGGATGGATGAATAGATGGGTGGATGGATTAAGTATGGAGTGGATCGGCATGCGATTTGATGGATGATGGATGGAATGGATGGATGAACTGGAGATTGGATGGAATGGATGGATGGATGAATGAATGGATGGAATGGATCGGATGGATGGAATGGATGGAGTGGATGATGGATGGATGGAGGATCAGGAATGATGAATGGATGGATGATTGATGGAATGAACTGGCAATTAGGATGATGGGATGGAATGGATCGGATGGATGTATGGATGGATGGATGGATGGAGGAATGGATGGATGGACTGATGGATGGCATGATGGATGCGATGATGGATGGATGGATTCCCTGGATGGCTGGATGGATCGAACTGGCTAGCTGGATGGTGGGAATTGGTGGGTGGGAACGGACGGACGACGGACCGGACGGACGGACGGATGGATGGGATGAATGGATGATGGATGGATTGCGATGGATGAATGGGATGGTGTGGATGGATGATGGATGCGATGGATGGATGGATGGATGGATGGATCGGATGGCTGGATGGATGGACTGGATGGATCCGCTGGATGGCTGGAATGGATGAATGGCTAGCTGGATGGTGGTTGGTGGGTGACGGACGGGACGGACGGACGGACGGAGACCGATTGGATGGATGGATAGGAGTGGGATTTGAGGGGATGTAATGCGATGGTTGGGATTGGATGGAATGGATGGCATTGGATGGATGGATGATGGTAATGGATGGAATGGAATAGGATGGAATGGGATGATGGATGGATGGATTGGATGGATTGGATGGATGAATGGATTGCGATGGATGGATGGATGGATGGATGGGATGGCATGGATGACCTGGATGGATGGATGGATGATGGATTGGATGGATGGATGGATGGATGGATGGATGGATGGATGGATGGATGGATGGATGGATGGATGGATGGATGGATGAATGGCGTAGCTCGGATGGATGGAGTGATGGATGGATGAATGGCTAGCTGATGGATGCGGTGAATGGATGGATGCGATTGGATCGATCGAACGATAGATAGATCGATATATAATATACTATACTATAGATAGATAGATAGATTAGAGTAGCATCCAGAGAGTAGATAGATAGAGTAAGGATAGATAGATAGAAATAGAGATAGATAGACAGGACAGATAGACAGATAGAATAGATAGTATACTAGCTAGCTAAATAGATAGATATATATAATATACGATACATAGATAGAATAGATATAGCATATAGATAATAGATATAGATAGATAGATAGATAGAATAGATAGCGCATAGATATACCGATAAGATAGATTAGATAGATAGGATAGATATAGAGAGATAGATAAGATAATAGATAAGATAGGATAGATCATAAAATAGATAGATAAGATAGATAGATAGATAGATAGATAGTAGGATACGATAGATAGAGTAGATAGAGTTGGGATACATAGATAATATATAGATCAGATAAATAGATAGCATAGAATAAATATGATAGATAGATAGGTAAGGATAGATAGATAGATAAGATAGGAATAGATAGATAATAGATAGAATAGGATAGATAGATTAAATAGATAGATAGATACGCATAATAAATAAATCGTAGATAGATAGATAGACTAGATAGATAGAATAGGCTAAAGATAGCTAGATAGCATAAGTGAGCAGTACAGGCATAGAATAGAGTAGGAATAGATATGATAGGATACGATAGATAGATAAAAGGATAATAGATAGGAATAGATAGAAGCTAGATTAGGCTAGATATAGATAGATAGATATGATAGATAGATACGCATAGACTAGATAGATAGATAGGATAGAATAGATAGATAGATAGATAATAGATAGAATAGATAGATTTAGATAAGATAGATGATCATGAATAGACTGGGATAGATAGATATAGTAGATGAGGGCTAGGAGGGGAGGTAGGAGTAGATGAGAGGGAGTAGCGGATAATAGGAGGTGAATCGTAGATAGAAGTATAGAGCTTGCGCATAGATAGATATGGATCTAGATCACAGTAGATATGGATTAGATAGATAACGATAGCATAGACTAGATAGATAGATAGAATAGAGTTACATAACGATCAGATAGATAAGATGAGAGTGGATCAGATAGATAAGATAGAGGTAGATGGATGATATACGATAGTTAGGACGAATAGAACATGAGTGAGTGGAGTGGGGCATCCCAGGAAAGATGACAGAGAGAGATATGACAGTGATTGAATCCTAACGCTATCATGAAGTAAATAAACGTACGGGCGACATACCTGGAACTGATTGTGAATATAGCGCGAATAATGTGCTGACTAGGGAAGAAGATACGCACGTTTATAGTCTTCGAACTGACGCAACAGAGCTTACATGACGTCACGAAGGAGCAACACCGTCGCGGTCTAAATGTTATTTGAAGCAGTACAACGCGTATAGGCAGTAAGACTGGCCGACTGAGAAAGCAATGTAACGCAGTTTGTCATCTAGTAGTTCTGGAGAGAGGGGTCGTAATGCCGCCAGCGTACTGGCCGGAACGTACCCTGGGTACGGTCGCGTAATATCCGGAAACGTGACCCTGGTAACTATCTAATATGCCGGACGGTACTCGTCTACTCGCCACTGAACGCGAGTCTAAGGAGTCGCCTAACGCCTACTCCCTAACCTAACCCTAAACCCTAACCATAACCCTAACGAAGCACATCCCACCTCCAATTAGTTATGCAGGCGTACGTTGCCGATAGTACCGGCCGCCGTACTCAGGGGGTACGTTCCGACAGTACCTCCCACTGGAGGGACATAGAACCGCCTATGAGCCAATAAGGCTACTATGTTCGAGGCCACCACCCTCCTTAGTACTTCCAGGGTTTTAACGACTACGCTTGGGACCTGATATACAAGCTTCTGCCGTCAAGACAGATGGCGAGTTAACTGTCCACTGAATTTCGTCTTCGCCACAGTAACCGAGTAGTAATGTTGTTATGCGTCGCTGTCAATGCCATGAACGGGCAGACCACGTATACCAAACATATGCCAGGGTGCTAGGCTACGTCTGCTTGTGAAAAGAAGATGAACACGAGGATGCGCGGGAGAAGTAGGATTCTCGAGATGACTTCTGTAAACCCACGTATATAAATGTACAGGGACGAGTCACCGCTGAAAAGCGGAATTCCTTCTCGTCATCAGAGCTGGTGAGCGGCCACAAAATGACATTTTCTAACGGTATAGTGTCATTACCTGCTATGTAATCGTATATTTAACAAGGAACAGCAGGTGTTTACCACGGACTATATAGACAGAGAGTAGAAAGATAACGGAGAAGAGTGGGAGGGAGGGAAGGAAGAGAGGCGCGGAAGGGAGGACCGTGAGGGAGCCGAGCGATGTAGGCAAGGGAAGGGAAGGAGGAAGAGAAGGGAAGGGGAAGGAGGTATCTCATATCAGAAACATCGAGTGTATACGCTATAACCGGAGGCCTCAGCAGCGTATATGCGGCGTACATGTGAGTCGCCTACGCCTACTCCCTAACCCTAACTCTAACCCTAACCATAACCCTAACCATATCAAATAGTTATCAGGGTACGTTCCGATATACCGGCCCGTACTCAGGGTACGTCCCGACAGTACCCTGGGGGACATAGACCCTATGAGCATAACTACAGTCGGAGGCCACACACCCGTCCTTATACTTCCAAGGGTTTAATCAACGCTTGGGACCACTTCTGCCCAAAGAATGCAGTTTGTCCACGAATTTCGTCTTGCCACAGTAACCGATTAGTAATTGTTATGCTGTCCTTGTCAATGCCATGACCAGACTCACGTATACAAGACAATGCCAGGGTCTACTACGCTGCGGTGAATATAAATGAACACGAGGGAGCCGGGAGAAGAGGATTCTGGATGACTTCTGTAAACCACGTATATAAATGTATAAACGAGTCACCCTGAAAAGCGGAATTCCCTCTCTCTCGCGTGTGCGCCCAAGACATTTCTATAGGTATAGCATTACCTGCTCATGTAATGTTATTTAACAAGGAACACGTGTTTACGCTACGGACTATATAGACAGAGAGATAGAAAGATAAGGAGAAGGAGTGGGAGGGAGGGAAGAAGGGAGGACGGAAGGGAGGACGTGAGGGAGCGAGCGATGTAGGAAGAGAGGGAAGGAGGAAGAGAGGGAGGGGAAGGAGCGATATCTCACTACAGAAACATCGAGTGGGTATACGCTATACGGAGCCTCACAGTATATATGCCGCGTGCATGTGGATGTCGCCTCGCACCGTCGCCTCGTGATGGGAACGTAGTGACGGCGCACCATTCCAACGACAAGCAGTTAGCAAGCATCGGCGGCACAGATCACGATTTTGAGGTCAGTACTATGAGACACGCCGTTGCTCATCTAGGTTAATGTCGTGGATAGCGTCTAATTGCCTTCTGTGTCAACACGCGAAGCGCCGATCTGTTGGAAAACGTCACCTGTTCCCATCGCGCACGTCTGCTGCCGTCATCGTCAACCCTCACGCGCGCGACAGCATGGTGGCGCGCGCAGTAAGAGCCCCCATCAGTATGTTGTTGGGTGCGGGTGCTGCTGTTATACGACGAGAAAATTCGGAGAAAAAGGCGGAAACTGCTTCTTTTTTCTTGCTCCACTGCGTACGCATACGTTGACGGATCACAAAGTTTTCTACTACCACGCCGGTGTCGATATACAGCTACATCGACAGAGGGAATAGTCGACGTTACAGGAGATTACAATCAAAACATAGATTATCAACTGGAACTTGATTATCAGCGCACTATATGTTAGGAGAGTAAGCGTATGCGACCATTTCAGCCGACATTCTATATATAATAGGGACAATATACGGCCTGGCAGAGGCAATGTATATATTATATATTTATATATTATAATATATATTATCAAGTATACATATATAAATATATATATTTTTTTTTTAATAGGTACGGGTCGTGTTTAGACTCAGGGGTTGCGGGCGGTTGGTGGGAGCAAGGCTGCGGGGCATGCGGGATAAATCTGTACCGTACTGGGACGCACCACGCAACGATGTTAAACTCTTTGGCAGGGCATTCACGCCCCGAACGACGCGTGAACGTGCTTACCTGCTCACGCTGACACGCTCTAGTTTCGCGCGTCAAACGCACAACAGACGAATTGCCGTCAACAAACGAAAAAACGAACTACCGGCCCGAACTTTTCCATTAAAAGTTGTTTGCCGCGTTACGTCTCGTCCCAGTTTGCAGCGATGATGCGCTGCCTGAGCGTGCCGCGGCGCGCGCCTCCCTGACCCCGATGCTGCGTGGTACGCGCTGTCACCTAGCAGAGTGGCTCACTTCACAGATAATTGCGCCTCTTCGTTTTTCACTTTCCTCTCGCGCTCGTTCGCCGTCGCCTGCCCGAACTCGGTCAGTTCCGCCGACTGCGCGCCTGCCAGCAGTAACGCGTCGTCACGACAACGGTGACGTCATCGATGACGTTTCTACCCAGTTATATTTCGACAACAACGACAACTGAAAGTTTGTCTTGATTCAGAACATTGTAGCGCGACGCTGGTGACCCCTATTTCTGGGTCATCAGTCCTGATAGACTGATTCATAGAGTAGTACGAGTGGCTAGTGAGTAAACAAAGTGCTACAAACCCTGCCGATTTTATTCGTCAACTTCGCATGATGTGTTCATTTTACGAAATGGGAATTTTCCTCACGAAAAAAATCGCTTTGATATTGGCTTATAACGGCAGTTCACGTAATACTCGGGCGATGTAAATAAATTCGCACACAAACAAACAAAAAACTACGTGCTGATTAAAACGTTAAACGCAGTTAAAATGACACCATTCTTCATTAAATTCGCTGTGGGTGAACAGATGAGAGAGATGGAGAAAAGAGTGTTGTCTTACCATCTCGGCTCATGCCGACAGCAATGCATTTCTTCAGGCGGCAGTACTGGCAGCGATTACGGTTGATGCGGAGGATCGAGCATTGCTGGTTCTTCGTGCAGGGCTTGTACTGGATCTTCTGCTGAATGCTCCTCCTGAAGAAACCCTGCGCAGCAAGGAGCAAGAACACGACTGTAAACGTCTCCCGGACCAACAACCCGCACGCATCCTCTAGCCTTGCCTTGTAGCTGGTCATTACGTTATGTTTGCAGTTCCTTAAGTCGTACGGTCCACACAGATTCGGCGAGACACTGCCAATAGCGGGTGGGTCGATACACTTAGCTGATTGATCCTTACACTTAGTTGATTTATCCTTGTACTCAGCTGATTGACCTTTACAGTAAGATGGTTTCTCTCACGTATCAGTAAGAGGTGGATTCTCTGCCTGAACTGTCACACGACGCCTAACACTAGCGGGCACTGACAAGTTGACGTGCCCTCTCTTGTTACTGACGGGTCCTATCCCTTCCCGTATAGCGACGTTCATACGGTCAAGGTTGATCCGGGTTAACCTCACCGGTTAATTACCCAAATAAAATAAGTCCCCGTGTGAATGGAACGGGTTTTAACCGGGTACCATTTAACTCGTGCACTTTTTACCCTACTCGCGACATGGGCTTAAATATTTAACTCGGGTTGACATCCGTCGCATTAACCTTCACAATGTGCGTACAAAGCAGTTCCGGTGGTATATCGAGTCGAGATTTAGCTCGGCAGTTTGCCGAGCGAACACAACCAAGTTATTTGCTACGCGATTCTAGCCCGGCTTCACCCTTGCCGTGTGCGTAGGGCGTGTGGGTATCCTCCTGTCATATTACTCAATCCAGCCATTACGGACCGCCATCTATACATCGACGCCGTGGTAATGCATACTAGTAATTACTACTCACCTTACAACCTTCGCACGAATGTACCCCGTAGTGAAATCCACTGGCCTTGTCTCCACATACCTGACACAGCACGGCCATGCCATCAAACTCTGCAATGGACAAAGACAGCAGTGATTTATTATTTTTTGGGATAAACCGATGATTTTTTTTTACTTTAATCGTTTTTGGTCTTTTTTACTCGTGCATTTTACGTTTTTCCTTCGAACTGGTTCGGAGTCGTGAGCACCAACTAGTATCCAACGCCGCTTTCCTGCGATGTACAGCAGACGTCGAGACAATGCTGTTATATGTGAAAGCCGATCACACTCATTCGAAGGTCGTGGAGTTACTATTTCAGAAGCAGCTTTTCAGATTTAATCCGAGCTATAACGCCTCGGCGCCTAAGTCAGGTCGTGGTGAGAGCGCATGCGGTGTGAGGACGGATGCGTAATGTTGGAGGTGCGATCTCTGTGTGAAAGCATTTCCCACCACCTCTGTCCTGCCATAAATAAACTATACAGTTCATTTGCCCCTCTCTCTCCCTAGTTTTCCCCTCCCTCTTTCACTCTCTTGTACGCTCCGTCTCAGGCGCTCTCTTTCGCTCTTTCGCGCTTTCTTCTTCTCTCTCTCTCTCTCTCTCTCTCTCTCTCTCTCTCTTCATCGCTCTCTCGCTCTCTCGCTTTTTTTCTTTCTCTTTCTCTCTTTCTCTCTCTCTCTCTCTCTTCATCGCTCTCTCGCTCTCTCGCTTTTTTTCTTTCTCTTTCTCTCTTTCTCTCTCTCTCTCTCTCTCTTCATCGCTCTCTCGCTCTCTCGTTTTCTTTCTCTCTCTTTCTCTCTCTCTCTCTCTCTCTCTCTCTCTCTCTCTCTCTCTCTCTCGCTCTCTCTCTTTCTCTCCCCTCCCCTCTTCTCTTATTCTATCTATCTCTGCGTCTCTCTCTCTCTCTCTCTCTCTCTCTCTCTCTCTCTCTCTCTCTCTCTCTGTTGTTTACGTCTTATTGTTAATACGAGAGTTGTTTACTGTCTTGCGCCGGGGTGCTGAGATGTACGGGCTGGTGAAACAAGACATTTCTCCCACGCAGAACAAAGCAGCGCTATCAGCGAGTACAAATAGCACTTTGGGGACGGAGGGACAAGCTGTTCGGAAAACCACGGGAAACAATGCCAGCACTGAGCGATATAAGCCATCAGAAGAGCACCTTAATTCTCCCATACGTCTTCATCGACCGGGTGGCCGGGGAGTATCTCTCAACATACATCTCCCTCACAAAGGCGTGCCTCAGATATCTGACGTACGACGGAGCGATTGCCCGATACGCCGTTGGGAAACTGGTTGCGGACAAGGACTGCATTACATTAGAGAAGATTCCTGGCCAGAAAGCGAAGTAGTTGGTGGTGCGATTGCTCTGTGTGAGGCTAGGAGATGGGACAGCTCTGTCCCGATGCGATTAAAACAAAAACAACGTGACACATGGACAGGATATGAAATGTGAAGGAAGCGAGTCCGTCTGTCGTTCTTTAACTAATACGGGCGGTTTATACCAATTAAGGAAGCCGAAATAATCTGACACAATCTTCCTGATGTAAACAAAATAGTATGCAAATTTACGGCCTATATGTATGACTAATATCTAGTCATGTAGGGGGAAATAGCAAGGTGATAATACTATACACAGTGAACATTCTCTGCCGGTAGGCCTATATAATGTGATCGGCGGATGTGTGTTGGCGGATGGGGAGGTTCATTGCCTCTACGACACGACTATCGCAACAGATAGCCAGATATTGGCGAGAGATTGTTGGAGCCTCCACAGCGGATTCCACAGGGCGTGACATCTATGATTCGACGTATCTGTTTGTTGTCCTAATTCATTTTCCATAGTATATTACTTGTAAATTAAAAAGTAAATAAATGTCGACATACTTTTCCACGTTTTACAAAGTTGTTAAAAAATTGTTAGTAAGGATAAAAGGTGTAAAAGGGTGGAAAACCGCGAACGAGTCCACAGGAGAGTGAAATAAATGATGTGAAATAAGGAGAGGGGGAGCGTTATATATAACGAAAGAAACAGCGAGCGAAAAGGTGAGAGAGAAAGAAATGGAAAAAGAGAAAGGAGTAGCGTAGTGAGCGCGAGAACGACTGGTAGGGAGAGTATGAAATAGGAGAGCGAGAAAGCGAGAGAGTGAGAGATTGAGAGACAGCGAGAGCGCGAGAGAGAACGAGAGCGAGAGAGAGAGAGAGAGAGAGAGAGAGAGAGAGAAGAGAGAGAGAGAGAGAGGAGAGAGAGAGAGAGGGAGGATGAGAGAGAGGCGAGTGAAGAGGGCGGGCGCAAGGGAGGGAGAGAAAGACCCAAAGAATTGGGCCCACAGAGTCCGTCATGGCTTTTATGGGAGCGCATATATTAGATGCGGTAGAGAAACTTTGAAGATAAAAATTCAAATGCTAGTGCCTCAGACTAAAACCTTTCTTGCCAAACAACGAGGTAGAAACTTGATATCGCACTAGAATATAGCGGCCAAAACTGTCCTCACTTGCCCATCGTTACTAAGGCGGGGAGGCAATGTCTCGTAATGACTGCATGCACTCACCGATGCCATGCATACATTACCATAAAATCTCACGTTTACATTTTGCCTTTCCTGTCTCAGACAATGAAGCTGCGCGGTGTTGTTGGATTTAAGCCGCAAGCCAGTAAGTCAGGTTTACCTGCATGTACCTGCACATGGCTGCGTATTCTGCACACTCAGGCCTCCCCTCTACAGGCAGTGAGAGACACGTATACACGCGCACGCACACGGGCATACTTTCATCCGCACGCACACGCAAACACACGCAAACACATGCAAACACATGCAAACACACGCAAACAACCACACGCTCGCCCGAATATGCACGCACACGTACACGCACGCACATGTTCCTGCACAGGTTTAGCTCAAAGAATTCTCGTTAACATGACTGTATACAATAGATGCAAGCTTTAGCAGTCGCGAAACCGCCTCTAGCATCTTGCACATCGCCTCAATCCTACAGTTTGTGCGACAGTCATGTTCTCTTTCTCGTATTATACTACGATAAATCACCATGAATGGTTTATCGTGTTTCGTGTTGTCGGTTAGGAAAGCTGTGTTGTAGCTTCGGTTACCGTTCACGTAGGGTTTCGTTAAGGAAACGTTATTACGGTAGAGAATTGCGAGTCGTAACGGAGGCGATGGTACAACGATCCCGACTGAATCCTATTACCTCCCTACTATATCCCCGAGAGTTATACACGGTATTCCTCAGCGCTATTTTCAGATCGTGAGCAGCAGCATGCGCCCGTGCTGTTGCTCCCTGCATTGCTATGCTTGGCCGCACGCCAGGCTCGACACGTATGAATTATGTTAACGCATTGGCGTGAATGTAATTCAGTAGTTACTCGGTAGCCTAGCCGGTAGCTAATGTATTCAACATGGTTCGCATAAATATCGTGCAGTGCTCGGGAGCAGCAAATGTTCCCAGTCTTGTGGTCCGGTTGTCTAAACCTGATAGACGATCAGATTGTGTACGTGCTGCGACTTAATCTAATCACGGTGTTGCAGCAATGCCATTCAGATACATGACGCCGACGATGATGCAGGCAGGTTGCGCACAAAAGCAAAGGAATATTGATTGATGATCTAGGTTTGTGATCGCTTCCACCCGCCACCTGGGGTCATGGTCTCGAGGGAGATGACGGTATATAAGAATAATGCAGAACATGTCCATTATGTTTGGAATCGAAATCAATCTAACTTTAACATCTCGCGTTTCTAGCGCCAATTATCCGACAATCAGTGATAATATTGATATAATATTATATTTATATTGATGTAAATGACATTGGTTTTATTGGGACCCATGTTCTCTATCCTTGAACCGAAACATCTACTAAAGCAGTCTACTCAGCTGCGCTTTTCGTTATTTAGTTTCTGTTGCGCTGGACACAGAGACTGAGACGCCATATTCAGGTACATATTTTACTAAACATTCGAGTAAGGGGCCTATCTACTTAACGATTATTCTGGATCAACACAAGCTTCGTGAACAAAGCGTCAGCTTAAGAAGTAATTCTTGCCTGCGATATGTTTGGAAATGCTATTTAACGGTCACTGCGTAGTTCGAATAAACTGGCCCAGCTTTGCTTCTAAAGATAATCCTAACTTTAACCCTGTTGCTGTCGCTGCTGCTGCTGCTGCTGCTGCTGCTGCTACAGTGCGTCTGCCCTGGCGTATACCTAATTACTGTTATAATTAATTGGGACACATCCATCTTTCCCCATATTTCCACGGACATGTGGCTGTGCAAAGCGCCAAATATGTATAATACGACCCGAATCAGTTCTATACCTATGTAGCCATTCGATCTGCCACGGACCCGTGGCTGCGCAAAGGCGGCTATGTAGACGCAGCTACTAGCATCGATCGTGTATGAATGGATGCGGCGTTACCTAGCGTCGGTGCGTTCTGCAGTTGCTTCGTCGGCTCTACGTCGTCGGCGGGCGGATAAGTCGTCGACACGGGCACGGACGTGCTGACGACGTCGCTGTGGTAGCCATGGTATCCGTTCGTGTAGCCGGCGAACACGTCGCGCTGCGCCGGTGGCGACGCGTCCATGGGGTTCTGCATGAGCATGTGCTGCTGATGGTGACCGGTCGGCGGAGCACTGCTCATCGCGTTCTGTACGAGATGTAGCATCGTCGGTCCACTGGCGGCAATGCTACGCCCTTCTCAGTCTGTTAGCTTCTCCTTTTCGCTCTTTTTCTATCTTTCTCTCGAGGTCCGTCTGTCGGTTTGTCTGTCTGTTGTTCTGTCTGTTGTTCTGTCTGGCTATGTTCTTTTCTGTCTCTCCCCGGCTCTGACGTCGAATGATAAGCGATTTATATACGTGACGAGTGTTTCCCGATATTATCCGATGACAACACTACGATCGTGAAGGACATCCGTCAGCAATTCGCGCATCCCTTCTCTCCTTCGCTCTCTTGCTTTCTTTTCTTCTCTTTCTTTCCTTCTCTCGCTCGGCTGCTATCTGACGGAGGTGAGCGGCGAGCAGACCGTCCTCCGCTGTCGTCTGCACAGCTTCCCGTTGTTAGGTATGCGAAGCAGCTCTAGATGCATCTCTCGGGCATGACTCCGCGCGCGTACACAGCTTATACATATACATACAAATATGTGTGTGTGTGTGTGTGCGTGCGTGTGTGCGCGCGTGTGTGCGCGCGTGTAATATATACGTATAGATGTGCCGGGTGTATGCTCGCGCGCTGTGTGCTCGCAGCACTGTTATTACGCGTGTCGTGCGGTCGCTGTTTGCTGATCGTCTGCTGCGTCGACCACGGCGCGCCTATACTCCGCTCGCCACGCTACGAGCACCGAGTGAAAGCAAAAGTGACGGCAGTGCGAGGGCAATGTCAGAGTACCCCGCGCGCAGCCGAGCGCGGCGCTCCCACAGTGCACCGCGCGCGTGTCACTGACCCACGCTAATGACAACACAGCGCTTCTTCCTGATCAGCAGTCATCATAGACTAACACCCGCGTCGCCGCTGTCGCCCGTCGCCACAGTCTGAGCCAATAGCGGGTAGCAGTCAATATATGCATGTGCGAAAGGTTGCAGTTTGAGGTTTAAAACGACGAGCCCACCTCGGACTCTGGATACCCGGATTTAGCTCTCGCGTAATTGGTATTGTCGCGTGCACTTGAACCGGCCCACATTGCCCCGTTGCACAGATACACTGACACTGTTGAGAGCTGATGGCGTAGGCTAAAGTGAAACCTGCATATAACTCCTCATCGGTCTTCTATGTCTGCCGTCTTTACCCTTTCCTCTCTCCCTCTTCCTTCTTCCCTCTCTCTCTCTCTCTCTCTCTCTCTCTCTCTCTCTCTCTCTCTCTCT